GGGACCCACTGCAAGACAAAGTCATCCCACTTGAGGCTAGAAGAACAGAGTTTGCAAGATTCAATATTTTTTTTTCTTTTTTTTCCCGCCCAGACGGTATAGTGGTTAGGGAAGCCTGACTGCGATACCGAAGGGCCTGGATTCGAATCCCGGAGAAGTCATGGTTGTAACTGCCCGTCCCTTCATAGGAGGCGATGGTGGACCACCTATTAGGTGCCTCCATAATAAAGAGACCACCACATCGTTGTATAGATTAATGGACTGGGTTACACTGTAACTGTTCACAATTTACCATTAGGGAAAAAAAAGATTCAGTAATTTTTTATTTCGCGATATTATAAATAAACTCTTCTTATAAAATAAAATTAAGAGAAAGTTTTTAAAACATTAATCAATATTTAACGACCTTGACAGAGTTTGAAAGAAAATATATAGTTTATACATTAGAATTAATTAAATTTATTATGACGAGAAATTATGACCACAATTAGTCAATTAGTCTTAATTTCGAATCAAAGAGAAGATATCTTTTCAGAAATATTTTATGGAATACAAAATATAAATTAAAAAGCAGTAACAAGAAATAAAAGGTGAAGGAAGTTTTTAAAATTGCACAAGAAATTAATGAAACGCAGTAAAAATATTTTTATTTAAACTGTTTAATTTAAAAAAAAAAAAAAAAAAAAAAAAAAAAAAAAAAAAAAAAAAAAAAAAACTAATTTTGAATTTAATTTTTTGCTTGCTATTTTTTCCTTTATTGGATTTCATTCAAATGGGATTTAGAAACTGGGACTGTTGAAACTTTTCTTGGATACTTCATGAAAAGATGGAAGAATTTTCAACTTTTGTTAATCAATTTTCTGCTCTAATTTACTTCTTTTTCAGGATTGATTTTTAAGTCTTGCAAAGTAATGAAGAAGAAATGAATTTTCGTATAGAGGGTGAATCTGAACAAGTAGGCAAAACTTTAGGGGTTGATAGAAGGCAGCTGTACGAACAGTATTCGTTATAGAATGTATGGTCGGTATTCAAAAGGCGAGTCTCTATGTGTCTATGTAGGACAATGTAGTGACATGTGACAATGACATGTGACAATGTATGTGACAATGTAGGTCCTACTATTTTGTAATCTACTTATGCCCTACACCATTATTTTTAATAAATACTGGATGCGGGGCGTACTGAATTGCACGATGTACCATAATAGGCAAACTTTAGACCTTTTGAAAAGTTCAGTCTATGCAAATCTTATAAAACTTGCAAGTACCCCTTTTTCCTCTCAAAGAGTTAGTATGGGAAGGCATTACCAGTTGACCTATGGTACATCGCTGGTGTCCCCCATACTTTTACCTTTACCTTTACCTGTGACAATGTAAATGGCACAAAAATGGTCGGTCCTCGCACTTAAAACGGTGTTTTCTACAGTGGATTCTCTAGAGGATGAGTGGTTATACGACTTGTTCAGCCATGGGTTTTACTTTCAGGATACTTCTAGTTTATGACAACTCCCAAAAAGCCTGCAATCCATGCAGGCTACGCTCAGTTTATAGAGGAGAATGGAATGGACACAATGACATTTTCTACTGTGGATTGCGGAAACGATGGCTGATTATAAGAACCCCGAAATTTCCAGGTCGATGGATTGGCCGAGGTTGTCGCATAGCTTGGCCATTATGGTCACTGGCTCTCTCGTGTTTGGACCTATTCCTGTGGAGGGCCATATGAAAAGCTTAGTCTACGAATGCCTGGTTGAAACGAATATGGATCTACATCAGGTTCGACATTGTTGCCTGCGGTATCGTGAAAAGTTTGGTATCTTTGCAAACGTGCTTTAGTCCTATCGCGCAGATGTGAAGTATGCATTATAGCTGAAAGGTCTTTTGAGCAGTTTCTTTGGGAATGTACATTAGTTACATTCCTGTTGATAAAATGTTCTCTGAAAATATCTCCTGTCATTCTTGTATTAAATCTTTAAATGTGACAATGGAAAACTCCCCTTTAACTTCTCACCGCTTTCGTTCCAACCATACATTCTATGACGAATATTGCTTATATAGCTGTCTTCTGTCATTCCCTAAAGTTTTTTTCCACTTGTTCAGACTCACCCTATATTTTCGCAGTACAGTTCTCAAAAAATGGAGGTATTAGGATTCTGGAATTTACACGGAACAATGATACAATAAATTCCAAAATATCCTTGTAAATGGATTCTTCTTCTTCAGTTGCACTACAGCCTATTACAGGCCAAGGCCGTCTCAACAACGGATCTTCTTCCAACGGATCCGATTAGTCGCTACAGTCCGCCAATAATTCCTTTTTAGAGGCCTGAAATTTGCCTCCACACTGTCTATCCATCTAGTTCGAGGTCTTCTTCTTTCCCTGGTACCCTCTACATTTGCAAAGGTCACCTTTGTAACAGGGTTCAAGATATCACATCTAAAAATATGTCCAATCCACCTGATACGTAAGGTTTGCTGACTCGGACAATATTAGGTTGTTTGTATCTTCTATATATTTCATGGTTAAACAAAATTCTCCATCTATTATTTTCTCTAAATTGGGTCATATATCTTCTGTAGTATTTTTCTTTCAAAGATTAGAAGTCCTTCTTCATCAGTTTTTGAGAATGGCCAGCGTTCACTACCATACAATATAAAAGGTCTAATAAGAGTTTTATGAAGATTAATTTTTTTCTTGAAGTTTAATTATTTAGACACCAAAAAATTCTTTGAACCACGATAACATCTATTAGCTCTAAATAATCTATTGTCATTTTCAAGTTTAATATTATTATAATTAGAGATGATAACACCGAGATATGTAAACTTTAAAACGCCCTCGAAAGTATAAGACTTTACTTGCAGTAGGAGGAGATTATGCACTTTACTATTTACTGCCTTAAATTTGTTTTACACTCATTAATGGTAAGTCCAATGTCTCTGACTGCAGACTCTAGGAAAATTAAAGTCTGCACAACTGCCTGTTTACTTCTGTCAGTAATGTCGATGGCATCAGCGTACGCTAGTAACTGTACAGGTCTTTGAAAAATGGTGCCTCTGGTTATAATTTCAGCATCTCTAATTGATTAAGAATAAAAACATTTTTTCCTTGCGCAGAAGAAAATTTCTCCTAAATTAAAATATAAAATTTTGGTCCACAGTCCCAGAACTAACTCTAGTTCATGAAGACTATACTTTTAATATGGCTCTTTTAAATGCAAATTGGAATGTAGGATTTATTACTGTAGGATTTATTACTTTAGGATTTACTATATGTAGGATTTACTACTGTAGATAATGTCTAAGCAAGTTTCCTAAATCAACCTAAACAGCATACACACAGATTACTGAAATTAATTTTGTTCTTCCGAAAAAAGAGGAAACTTACCGTCATTCTTTTTTCTGGACAGACTTCGATCATTCCCCTAAGGAGGTCCTGGCACTCTGGAGGAACAAAATGTGGAATGTGGAAAACTCCTCTCTTCACTTTCTCCAGTAACTGCCGCAGGTTATCGTCGTCGAAAGGAAGAGCACCCTGCACGGAAAAAAAAAAGAAATTCGAAATCGATAACACGCAAGGCAGTTTCGAATTAAAACTTGGCGTTCCTTCTTTCGGAGTCTGTAGAATAAATTAAGTTGACACGCCGTACTGCAAAACGAAATCTTCCAGAACAAATCCGTTTGCGTGCCGAAATTTTTCTTTTGAAATTTCTTTATTTCTAGAAGCAACGATTGTGTAATAACAAATATTTTATGCTGTTTGCATCGATTCTCAGGCATCATGACCCCCCAAATATACACATTATTGTAAATATTCGCAAATATTTATATCCCTTATTTTTTTATTGTATTATTGTTTTTATATATTGATGTAGTACTGTGCATTGCTTTGCTTATATATTTATTTATTTATTATTTTCAGGATGCAAATTGTAGGGTTTGTTTTCTGTTTAATCCAATTTGTAGTCATATTTTTAAGTTCTTAGAGTTTTCACTTCTGAGTGCAGCAAAGTTTGAATTGTAAAAAATCCTTTATATGAAACGCATGATATGAAACGCATGATTCGTTCCGGATGAGCCTTGACGACATATGGCAAATTTTATTAACTTGGAAACTTTTTAGAAGATTCGGGAAAACTCACTTTTGAATCCCTACGACCAGTTCTTCCAAAAATTCGGGCTTGACTGCTCAGAGAATTTACACATTTATTCCCCAAATTACGATAAGTGAAAGGAACGTAGATTTCAGAATGTGCTCATTTCTTACCCGTCATGGTCAGTTCTCATCGTATATGGATCGTTTTAGTATAAAAAGAAAATGGTCTTTGTCAATGAGGTGCACCCGACGACCCAGATCATAATGTAACTATCTGCTAATAGCCGGTACATCTGAGGATGCCAACTATTGGGCCATGGGCAGCGAGCATAATTAGAGAATACGAACAGAAACATAGATGCGATATGTAAAATAATACAGCTGCGAATTATTCTGCATCATTTTTTTGATACCGAGTGAATGCACGTAGTTGCAATGTTGGAAACTTTTGATGTTTGTGGTTTCTTATATTGAATCTCTGATTACCATCCTGGGGTGGGTGACTGTACGCTGCGCTGACAAGGGGTCTCCATTTAAGGAATTGGTAACTGACTAGCTTTTGCCCTTTGTTTAAGTTGCGTATTACTTACTGTATATAGAACAAAAACACATATATTATAAATCTAAAGGAACCTCTTTTCATCCCTGGAATGGGTCGATAAAATGAGTACCAAGTTCGCTGCGGGGCTAAACACCGGAGGTCCTGCGACAAGCTGGCCACTTGTCCAGGACCTTGTGTATCCAGGCACAAGTTCCTGGACAAGTGGCCAGCTTGTCGCAGGATCCATCCTTGTGCATCCAGGCTAAGATGCATACGCACTCCAGAGCCCACGGTCTAGAAATCAGATATCAGGGCACTGCCGGCCATGGCTCTCTAAGGGCTGTTTGGGCCACCGAGTTTAGTTCAGTTTAGTTAACAGAACCTTTATTAACAGCACATAAGGACATAATAGAAACAATTATTGTAAGTATAGTTATTGTCCGCATTATGTGAGGATCTTGCTAGCGGCAAGAGTCTCTCGAGTTGAGATTTAAGAGCGTTCTGCTTTGTTGCTCTGTATGAAACAATCTGCAGACTGAATTAGGCACGCCTTTTTGATTTTTCGGTTGTATTGTATATCCTATACTTCGTTGCAGTTGAAACGATATCAGAGGAGGAACAGGATCATTGGTCCTTCAGCCTCCCTGAAATTGAAGTCCCTGGTCGTGACGTTATGGCTCTTGTAATGTCAAGTGGAAGTGTTACTGAACGAATGTCAGAGAATGTAATTCTCCTATCTCGTCACAGCTTGAAGCCTGCGACTTGTGGAGGACCGCATATATGAATTTCTTATCGTTGTGTGGTGCTCCGCAATCCTTAAGGGCCGTTCCCACTGGGGCTTATCTGAGCTAACGGGCACAGCTGACGTAGCTGGCCCATCTCCAAACCCACTTGTTTCCTATAGGGTAGCAAGTTGAACAATCTGAACTGCAGGCATAGCGGAGCTAGTCGACACATGTAACTGACTCCGTTAGCTCAGATAAACCCCAGTGGGAACGACCCTTTAGGGTTAGACTGTTATACTGGAATATTTTCCGCTGGTTGGGTAATTAGGCTGTTTGCTTATTTAAGAGGTTATCACATCTAGCGACGATTCCTGCTAGACGGGACTTTTCTGAGAAACGTTATTCTGGTAGTGCTGGTTTAAACGGGAGGATTCCTAGGAGAAACAGCTACGCTGGAAGCGAAGACCCGTCTAGGTAAGGGAAAGGATGCCCCGTCTACGCGGGATCTTTTGAAACCTCGCCGAAAATGTTTTGGCTGCAGCTCTGTCCCACGTAGATCAAGACCAATCAGTTCTTCTTTTGAAGGATCATATGATCCCAATCTGAGCGATAATCGATTAGTGTTTGGCGTTCAAATCTTTGTGGTAAATGAAAATGATAACTTAGTTACGTGGGTTTCCTGGAAATGTACGGGATCTGAGAATTGTCACTTTCGACGTCCAGTCCCGCGTAGCGGAAACATAATGTGATAGAGGTTTTAGTTTGCAGGAAAGCTGCCGTCCCTAGCGGCACGTAGAAGATTCCAGAGTTTATGCTACAGTATATAAATACGAGTCAGACAGCTAGGGAGTTCATTTCTTAATCAGTTGCGAGATTTAGCGGTTAGCATACCCCATCCATCTACATTATCTGCATTGACTTATTTCCAGCTGTTTATTGTGCTTATTACTTCCTTCAGTGAAGAAAATGAAGTATTGTAATCGCGAAAAATTTCGCGTACCATATTTTAATGAAAATATCCATTGTGACCAATATCGAATCCATTCATTTGAACGACTTTTTTGGGTGACATCTGCACGAACGGGCAAAATAAAGGACTGTTTTTCACAAAACAGATTGTACAATGGATTTGAAATGGATCCCGGAGGAATTTCTTCGTGACATTCATACCTTTCGTCTGTACGTAAGTAAGTGTTTACCTGGCGTAACTTAAAAACTATTAATCGTAAAACTTTGAAATTTTGTATATGGGACTGCTATAACATCTTTGTGCGCTTCCCGTTTTCGTTGCAATCGGCCGTCCCAAACGTATGTATATGTATAAATACATACACCCGGCTCGATAAGCTCTGTGTTTTTATTCTTATATGTTGGTAAATAGTGTATTTTTTTGCTTTAAAAGTGATGGAATTATATTGTTTTTATGTTCCGGTTAAGATATTATGCCTCTAGTTAATCTGCGTGCACTATTTAAAAGCGTAAGTGACGGCCCTTTGTTTACATTTGAAACTGTTAGTAGTACAGTGAATCAAGTCAGTTAGTGCACCAATTTCAGTGTCTTTTTCAGTACGCCCAAAAGTTAACTTTATATTTTTGTGCATCGAAAATGTTGTCTTCCTGCCCATTGGCTGAATTGCTTGTTTTTGCGTAGAAACTCTAATTTAACTGCAAAAGTTGTTTTATTTACTGTTTTTAATCTCACCATTAGTCTCTGATATGAATTGTTTTGAAGAAAGCGGGGGGGGGGAAACGTTTACCTGCAGTATCTTCATGTAGTGAATTAATTATCCGTTGTTCTAAAACAGAGGTCTTTAAACTTTGTCTACTCACGGAATACTTAGAACTGTAAGGCTTTTATGGTTTATCCATCCCAGCTTTAGAAAAAATATCTTAATATTTAAAGTAGATGTATAAGGTATTTCTCCCGCCTTCTTAGCGTGCCTTCGTGGTGTAGTGATCTGCAAGATGGTCGCGTATTCCACAGGTCTGCGGTTCGATTCCCAGCGAAGGCTTATTCTAGAAGAAGAAAGACTTGCTATTTCTTTGGATCTCAAAATGAAATGATACTATGCTGATCTCAATTTTTCACATCTCCTACTTCCAAATAACCCAATGTCTCTACAGTGGCACCCGTACTAAAAGGGTGGTGGATGATGATTCTCCACACCCAGGATTTGGCGATTGGGTCCCCTAAAAACCTCAGCCGCCCTTTCAAAAAAGGGGAAGTATATAAGATATTTCTTTCGCCTTCTTGGCGTGGCTTCGCCGTGTAGCGGTCTGCACGCTGGCGCGTATTCCAGAAGGCCGCGGCTCGATTCCCGAAGGCGTTGCTCATTTTTTACATCTCCTGCTCCTTATAGGTACTTTATGCAAAGACAATTAAAAAAAGTATTACATTTTTATTAAAACATTTTTAACATAAAATTAATGTAATTTACTCATTAATAGCATTCGCGCTCGAGGTGTCAGCTACTCTTGCATTATATTTCGAGACAGGGATGTACTTGCATTTTTTTACACAAACTGTCGAACTCGGCAACCCACGAAGGAAGCTTCTGATTCATTTTCAAAGGTAACTGATTGCATCCTTTATTTTTTTTAGTTAATAAACTAGTGTGAGTGCTTTACATTTTTCTTTTCGAATTTTTATTTTGACTCGCAGAACCCCGGGATTTCATTCGCAGAAACCCGAAGCGCCATGGAAGACAGTTTGAAGACCACTATTCTAGAAGAAGAAAGACTTGCTATTTCTTTGGATCTCAAAATGAAATGATACTATGCTGATCTCAATGGGACACTTTACACACCATATTAATAAATATTTCATGTTGAAACCAGATGTTTCATTATCACTGAAGAAACATTTTAATGTATGTCAAATTGCGGGTATTTTGATTGTTAATTAGTGAATCTGTAGGGTTTATATTTATTTTAACTAACATTTATTTTAAGTTTAAACTATCTTTCCTGTCAAGCCTTACTTTCCCCTGGAACTGCCAATGCCAGAATATGTAAATTTGAGTAGAACGCGCAAGCATTCAAATTATCAGCGGAAGTAGTATGATTTAAATAGAAGGAAACAAGTTCGGTGAGAGAGAGTTATTCTTACTTCGCGAGCGCGGAGGTAGAAATCGAGAATTAAAGAACCCCGCGTTGCGGCCTATGTGCTTGGC